ACAACTTAAGAACGCCAGCCTGAACAAAAAAGTTTTAAGCCCTTTTTAAAGCATTTTAAAGCACCACCTTGTTACTGTCGTCAAACGAGCTAAAATAAACCCTGAATTCACCGAAGTTAGGTGTGAAATTACAGCGGTTTTTCCTCTCGCTCGTTTTCCCCTCACCGCTGAGCAGCAGCTCTCGTTCTCCGGAGGCAGAACAATAAATGAGTAAAGTAAAATGATAAAAATCTTCCAAAAGAAACATTTATTTAATTGCGCAGCAGCAAAAGAAAACAGATGTTTCAGCCATAGACTTTCCTCAGCGTTACTGAGACGTTTGTGGTGTGACTCTGTTAAACAACAACCAGTCAGCTGAGACTGATCATTAAAACAACATTTAATAAAAACAGCTTATCTTAGACTGGATACAGCTCGTCTGGAACTAAATGACCCTACTGGTTCCTCCAAAGCTCACCATTAACAATGTGGTTTTAATGGGTGAGCGGGGGAGTATGTGCTGCAGGATTTCTTTGCTGGGGGCGGTGACATCCCAGAGTCCTGATGTTTCAGTCTGGTTGCCAGGCAACCAGGAGAGACTTCAGGAAGTCGCTGCATCCGGAGGGAAATAGTTTCAGCAGATAACTCCCCGTAAAACAACAGTCGGTGGATACACTTCAGTTTTTGTTCGGACTGAAACAAAATATGTTGTGTTGAACTAGGTTAACTGTTTTCAGTCTGAATGCTAAGCTAACTGTCTCCTAAAATAAACTAATTAATCCTCTAAAAATCATAGATTCATTAGATTATCTCTTATATACAAACATATACTATTATGGTGTAAAACAGGGTATTTAAAGCAAACAATTATCAAGTTTTAAATGAAATATTCTGTATTTTATTTTAGTAAAATGTCCAAATATGTTGTTGTGTCCTGTAGAAATCACAGTTGAGTTTCAGTGACAGTCCTGCTGCAGACGCCATGAATCAGTGTAGCTGAGGTGAAAGGTGTCGAACGTCTCCTCTGTCCATTTTGTGTGTTTATATTAATCCTCCGCTCCCCTCCCAGAGACACGGAGGGGCCTGAAATAGCCTGAGCTCGCTAATCAATAATGAATGCGGCTTTCCTGCCACTTCCCCCCCCCTCTGTCCTCTCCCCCTGCACGCACCCTCCACGGCCTTCCTCCTCCTCCTCCTGTCGTGTTTTATCGCCACTCAGCTCTGCTCCAATTTCCTCCTCCTGCCCATAATTGCGTCTCTTCTGCTGTATCCACAGTTTTTCCAGTCCTCGTGTTTCATTGCATTTTTAATTCTACAGTTTGGTTCCTGTCATCGCTCCTGTTCTCCTTTCTCTCTGCTTCAGTTTCCACCTTTGACTCCGTCTCTGTGGGCGGCTTTAATGCTGTTGATCTGTGTGTTTTACTGCTGTAACAGACGGCAAACTGCAGCTTTATAGTTCTCAACAGAAGAAGTTGAGTCTGAGAGCAGTCACATGACACCACCATCATAAAACTACAAACAAACAAGAGCACCGTGTTTAAAGTATTTTCATGTGTCATTTAAAAAAAGGCAATAAATAACTGAACTAAACCAGGAAGGTTTTTAATTTTCCACCGAACCACAGATCCACATTAATACTAAAACAATATGATGTATATACTGAAGGCTTTGATTACTGTTGGGTTTTCTTGGTCAACATCATCCAATGTATGAAGTAATCAGAAATATAAAATTTTTTATTGTGCAATGTAGTAAAAACATTGAACATTCAGGGAAAAGAACGATATAACAATATATTAGTAAGAGGTATTGTGTTTATCTGTTGGTGCCGTCGTTTTATTTCTCAATTTCTATCATTAACCTCGGCCTGATCACTTAAAATAACTGTCCCATATGTTTCCCTAAAGGTATTTGAGTTCCCTCTGACCACACGCTGTAGGTTAGTTAGGTTAGTCTGTACTGAAGCAGGCACATATTGATCGATTGATCGGGATAGATACCTAATATACACAGCTTCACCACTAGAGGGATCTCTGTAGGTTATGTACGACTTTTCAGAATAATTTTTCATTCTAGACATACAGTGTACAACATTATCACTGCACTTTGTACATTATATATTGTGTGTTATGGATGCAGTGTTGATGTGTGTCCCCCCCCCGTGTGTCCTGCAGTGGTGATGGTGTGCCTTCTGCGTTACGCCCAGGTGATCGAACACTGCCACCGATGTTGGGTGAACACCAGCGCTCTGGTCTCCGGCTGCACCAACGCGCTGGGTCTGGTCATGGTGGGAAACTTCCAGGTAAACTCACATGAATGCGTTTAATTCAGATTTTGTTTCTGTTCTGGACCTCGGACTAACTGCACCGCTCTGTTTGTCAGGTCGATCATGCCAAATCTCTCCACTACGTTGGCGCCGGTGTGGCGTTCCCAGCGGGGCTGCTGTTTGTGTGCCTGCAGTGTGTACTCACCTACCGGGTGGCTGTGACCGCCCTCGACTACTGGATGGCCCATTTCAGAGTGGCTCTGGCACTGGGAGCAATGGTGTCCCTCGTCCTCAGTATCCTTTACTCACCTGTGTGTGAGCTATGTACTGTATGCTAAGGTTTTTAGAATGAAATGGTTTGTGCGCACATTATATACGGCACATGCTGCCAGTTTTATAGGTTATATCACAAAATTCACCTGACCTGACCTGATGTGTATCAGTGTGGGGGTCCTTGACACCAAAATGTGTGAGAGCCACACTACAGTCAACCAGACTCCACTGACAAAACCAGTAATTTAACTTTATTTTAATTTAACTTCAGACTGGATAGAAGCTCTGTCACCAACTGATGAGAAAATAGTTTCACGATGGGCTGTAACTTTTTTTAATGCTAGCTAATCCATATGCTCCTGTCAGAGCTTCATCCACTAACAGTAGTTGTCTCACCTTGACAGACTCAAGGTTGTTATTGTCAGGTGTCTGGAGCAGCATTATGAAAGGATCCCTACAGAGATAGACCTTAGTTAAACCACAAACAGCCCGTAATATCACTATCACTCTCCCCGACTCGAGACACAAACACTCATTTTAAATAGCATTCAGGATACATTGTTATGTATTATAAATATATTATAATTCAGAAGTAGACAGAAATAAAATAAAAGTCACCCTAACCCTCGAATGAAAGCAGGGCTGTCTCCCAGTCCGAGGGCCCAGATACTGTTGGTGCACTGTAATGACTCACTGAGCCATCGTTAACATTATTAGTTACACCTGTGCTTTCTCAAATCAAAATGTCTGCCCTGAGAAGGGTCTAATTAACTCCAGTCGAAATCTTAAATGATGTCACGCACACACGTTCCTTAGACCTACAAACACAGACGTTGTCGATATGAGTTTGTCAGTCGAAGTTTGTCTCCTAAAAACCAGACTGATCCGGTTGTGTTGTGGTTCCAAACGAAGGAATAGGTTGTAGAGTTTGAAGGCCGACCAGCCGGCGGCGTGCTGATAAAACACTGGTGAGACGAGTTTGTTTTGTTTTTCACTCCACTAGCGTTGAGACACTTGTGTACGGGTCAAGAAGTTTGTCCTTCAGCTCTGAGTCAGGACAGCCAGACCACGATAACATCTGTCTGGGCTCAGTTTCAGCGCCCCCCTGCCTGCCTCTCAGTTAGGAACCAGACAGCTGAGCTGACTGTTCCACAATCAGCAGAAAACTCTTCACAGACGCTCCTTAACATTCTCCGATTAGAAAGCAGCTTAGGGGCGACTGTTCCTCCACCACTCGCTGCTGTCATCCCTGATTTCTGTCTGTTCGGCGACAGGGTTGACAGCCATTCAGGTTCCTGTTGATTACCTGATAAATAATACGTCTAAATAGGTCGAGGTCAGGCTGGCCTTTAACTCACTCATTTCATTCATTTCTGTGAAGAAAACTAAATGAAAGTTATTTTTAAAGATTATTATGTAAGATCTGAACTTTGAAGACATGAATCCAGTTTGTTTATCAGAGACTGAAGGCTCTGTGAATACGGCCTCGCCCTGCAGTAGAAAACAACCAAAGAGATGATAGAACAACACTGAATCTGTCAAAAAAGAAGAATATTAAGTCGGTTTGAATGTTAAAAATAATAAAAATACACAATACAGACAGAAAATTGTTTAAAAAGTTCCTAAAAATATCAGGAAAACTCATCTCTGATCAAACTTCCTGCAGTTATTGAGTTCACTGTTCATTATACAGTTTATCAGCTGTTCTTTACTGCTATTGTTATTATTAAATAAAATATGAAATATCTATAAATCAGTTTATTGTCTGATTAATGGAGCTGATGGAACTTTAATCACATAATGAATTCTCATCTGGCACCATGAGGTCGTATAACTCATCTCAGTGTATCGTGGATTTGATTCAGGCTCATGATGTTTAATTCACTGTAGGTTCAGTGAAGGGCAGTTTGAGGGCTGGTTTCTGTTTAGTTTCAGTTAGTTGTGCTATGGGGGTTAAAAATAGACTCAGTCATGTAGACAACAGATTGTTGTGTTGACAGACATTTCCTGTCTATTTTTAGTTCAGTTCTGTAAGTACACTGTGTTGTTTCAGTTTGTTTTCTTTCTTTCTTTTCACTCTTAGTTTTAGTGTTTATTATAGTTCACTAAAACTAATCTTACTTATTCGGAGCCGGTTCCTGATCTCGAACCAGTTCTTTGTGACACCCAAAGAACCGGCTCCTAACAACAGGGGCTGGGACATCTTGTGCCATATATTTATTAGCAGTTTGTCTCTGAGATGTTTGTCCTCCTTAACGTCCTCCTCCTCTCAGGCGGCATCTTCTTCATCCACGAGAGCTTCGTCCTGCAGCACGCCGCCGCCATCTGCGAGTGGGTCTTCACGGTGGACATCCTGGTCTTCTACGGCACCTTCACCTACGAGTTCGGCACCGTCACCAGCGAGACCTTGATGGCGGGGCTGCAGCAGAGCCACCACCTCGGCTCGGGGGTCATCATGGGCCCCAGGGCCCGGGGCTCGACGCTGGGCGGAGCCACCAAAGGCCTCAAGTCCCCCGGGGGAAGCAGCACGTCCACACATCTCAACTGTACCCCCGAGAGCATAGCCATGTTGTAGCTCTGCCACGTCCCCGCAGAGGTGCATCGTGGGCGAGACGAGGAAGTTGTGATATCTTTATCCCGTCTGTACTATCTTTCCTTTCTTTCCCAGCGTTGGTCCGAGACGCCACTGCGGCCCTGTTCCCTGTAGCGGAGGGAGGGCTGAATGTGTGGAGCCAGTTTGACCACTGGAGCCATGAATGTTTTCCAAGATGGCGGTCGAATTCTTCACTTGAGTATGTTGTTTCCCAAACAGAGTTTTTATATTCCGGTTGTTTTTTTCTATAACTGTGCCCACAATGTTCTTCCCGCTCCCCCACACACACACACACTCCTTCATGAGCTACCCGATGCTTTGATGGCCCACCTGTTTTTGGCCTTTTTGCTTATCTCTGCACGGCACACTTTCTGAATGAGAGAATAACAATTAACGTTTGAGTTTGCGTAGTCCGTAGAAAATATTGAATGTTTGAGAAGTGACTAGTTAACAGTTATGTATGTTTTTACAGGCTGTAAAGCGTTATGGCCTTTTTATTCAATCAAAGCGTAAATTATCTGTCAAACGATCGGCAACAAATCATTCACCTCACCCGACACGTTGATTCGGTCGCACAGATGATTTCAATGCAAATTTTGATGGTATTTTTAAACATAGTGTGTGTAAACGTGTATCATTCTTGAGATCATAATCCATTTCACTGATCCGAGTGCAGCTCAATCACTCGTCTCCCTGGATGTCCCACAAGTCGTGTGGTCGGATGATTTCTTTGTGTCATTCCTTCTTTTCACGTTCGATACAGAATCCAAAATCAGAGAATTACAAAACCATTCGTTATTCGTTTATAAATCCGCAATAATCCCAAAGAAAGCCCACAAAATCGTGGAGGGGCGGACAGCTGATAGTTAACTCGCTGTCTCCATGGCAACAGCGTACTTCCTGTTTCTTGTTTTTACCTTCACACAGGTGAAAATACGGAGATCGTATTCACACATTAAATCAGCTGTCAGCAACTTCCTGTCTCAAATCAGACACGTTAAATATGTAAAAGTGGGAAAAATAAGCTGTTATTAGTTTGTTGTGCTGGATTTATAAACGAATAATGAATAAGTATTTTTATTCTGTTGAATATGAAAAGAACAGATGATGAATTTACATTTCATGCTACCTTTTTTTATGTTTTATTACATTGACTGTCCTGTCCGGTGCAATAATTGCCATCAATCATGTGATCGTTTCCGCTCCTCTGGAGTGAACAATGCCTTTTTCAGTGTGTTGGAGTTGAACAGCGCTTGTTTTTGTTTCGTTTGAAGAAAAAGTGACACGGAGACATTTGAAGTGAAGGTGCTTTGAAGGTTGAAACTATAAACCGACTAACACACGCAGAGAGCGACAGTTCTCGTCCACACACTGATTCGATTCCAGGCTGGACCCTTGGAAGCCTTATTTGAGTTTTCTGTTTCAATACGAAGCCTTTCAGTAGTTGTAGGTTCGCAGGAGTCGACTGAGAGCGGGAGATGATGCTCGGTGACTTTGTGCCATAAACCTCGTGGCGTCAGTACAGTGTTACGACCAGACAGCACCACAGGTTGGAGACTTGTAAGGTGAAAGTGTGTCACATATATAGAGGTTTTTTTTTTATGATTTCCTGTTGCCAATTTCTCTAAAAGTGATCATTGATCCTTCCTAAGGCCCGCCCCTTTTTGCCCTGTGCTCTAATAATAGTCGAACGGTCAGAAACGTCAAATTTACATTAATCTAGAGTTACGTTTTGCTAAATTTCGCCAACTCAAGATGTGATTATCAATCTTTAAATGTCAGTTCAACGTAGATTAGTTTAGCACATTGCGTATCTATTGTTATCGGAGCACAGACCAAAAGTGGGCGGGACTTTTAGGGTCAATTAGCTCACAACCTGACTGCCACAAACTACCACTGCTCCAACTAAAGCTGACTAATGCCACCCTGTTTCAGTTCCACTCAGTCTTTTGTGAGAAGTAAGTTTCATAACACGCACAGTATTCTGCCCTCTGCGTAGTGTTAATGCATTTCTAACTGTTACCACTGGATGCCAGCAATACACGTTTTTAAAAAGGTCACATCACCTACCTCTTTTTATCTTTTGTGGGTTTGATGTTCTGAGGCAAAAGCTAGAGTTCCAACAAGTTTATTTTCTTTCCATCTAAGTTGTTTGAGGTCGATGTTGTCTCAGTGATCCACAGAGACCGGACGGTGGATCTGCTGTTACATGAGACGTGTTATCATGTGTCGGGTCAGTTTTCTTTACATTTTTTGTGCAAATGATTTTCTTTCTGGGACTGCAGCAATCTTGATCTTGCCAAAAAAAAGAGTGGAATCCACAGGAGGTTTGGTTGTTTATCCGTGTGTCTGCAGTAGGTGTATGAGTATGTGAGTGCACTGTTTTAGCCTTATCCCTCGTACTGTGCCAGGGGAACATGTTCTTTTATTTTTTAATCTTGTGTTCAGCTGTAGCCTATTTCACCATACTGTAACTAAAGTCACAAGGTGTGACTACAAATGGCAGCTTGTATGAGCCCTCACATCAGGGTTGGATATTCTTCTGTAACAGCATCTCCACCACACCACCATCTTCCACAGGCCAAAATTACAGGTGGATTTTTACAACCTTTCTTCTTTTCTGTTACAATGTGCACTTCAGTGAGCTGTCATATGGTATCTTTGTTTGTGGGAGAGTCCTGTATTACAAAAAGGCTGCCTGACCTGTACACGTCTTGAACTCTAGCAACAACAACAAACAAACGTCTATAAAGAAAATGTATTAAGTCTCATTTCCTGGATTTGAAAAGTATGTAAGAGTCAGAGAAATCCCCAAAAACAAGTCGACACAGATGATTTTGTTTCCTTTTATAAATTCTGTAAATATGTATGATTTGTCTATCATTTAGGTATTTTCATTTGACAGAGATTTATATTCAAATACGAAATAAAAATGATAAATTATTAGATGTTTTGCCTCTTTTTCCTTATAAACAGCAGAAGTATCGGTGAGTTGTAGAGCCCGACTGATGTGACGGCCGATACGACTGCAAAGACACTCGGACAACAAATAACTTCATGTTCAATCATTTAACAAATGAATTGTCAACCAAAGGCCTTTACCAGTCCCTCCAGGAAGCTGCGATGTTGCAACCACAACAATTAACGCTTTTAACTTTTATTCTCACTCACACGATACCATTTTTAAACAAATTAGACACAAAAAAACCTTTTTGCAATTTAATCTCCCAAATTTAATTCCAGAAAAATGGCTTAAAACATCGGAACATGCATCGCAATTGTTTTAGAAAAGTTGCTGTGAAATCAGGAATGTTAGCCAGCGACATCCTGGAGGGACAACCAAACACTGCTTTACACACTGGGGCCGTTTGTTTCGATCAATATTCTGAAATATTAAATATATTGGCATACATGCAACGTCATTTATTTTCACAGTAAATGTTTTCGGAGATTTTCACACCGCATTAAGTTTTAATAAATGTTTTCAAACAAGTTCACGTCGATGCTGGTATGAATAGTTTGGAGACGTTGGTCCCTGGTGTGGTCTGTATTGTACATCACAGCGCACTCTGCTGGATAAACCCTGCAGTCACACCATTATATATATATTTCTTTAGCACTTTATACAGTTAAATCTGCTGTATATGTTTGTGATATTGCGGCTGATATATCGGTCGGGGCTCTACAAACTGACATCATACTCATGTATATATATATAAATATATATAACATACAGTTATATATATTAAGTATTAATGTATTGTATTAATGAAATGATGGTTAATGGAGTGTTTGTTCATATAAAAGGTGGATTTATTTGCGAGCAGTAATAGAAGTTTTGGCAGAGCGGGTCCAAACTGAGCATTTATAGTTTATATACTGGAGAGTAACTCGAGCACCAACACTGAACTGGTTTCACACAGGTATGTAATGTAGAAACCATCGACATATATAAAGACGGACTCCAAAAGTGAAGCCAAACCATCTCTATCGTCCCCTGCTGGCCGACTGCAGTATAGGTCATTCCTCCATGTTAGCAGATGGGACAAACTCAATCAAAGTACACTTTAAATACATTCATTTTCGATCGTTCATATCACACATTTTTCAGATAAGTTTGGTTTTAATTCATTATTTGAAGCTATAAAAGGGGCGTTAACACCATGACTGACGGCTGAGCACCACTGCGCAGACTAACGCAGCTTTATACACAAATACTCTGGCTTCATTAATATACAGTGGAGGGAAGTTCATCTCTTATATGTCGATGGTAAACCAGTTCAGACGTCTGCCGGAGCCAGAAGAGAAGAGACACTCTCTCAAACATCAAAGCGGCATCATGGGACGTTAAAGGGGAACTCCAGCATGACGAGTGCAAACAGTTGAATGGAGTCCTGTGTGTCTCTACAGGAGCTTTATACGGGGAGGAGAATACATCTGCTCTGCTCTGGCGTGCAGATTACACAATAACAGAAAGCTGCTGTTACACTGGGAGTTTCCCAGGCAAGGAAATGCATCATGGGAAGTGGAGGATCCAGCGTGCGGTCTTTAACGAGCACCCAGACTTTATGGAAGTACGCTGCTGGAGTGCACGTTAAGACTCTCAGATTTAAACATTATTAAAGTCTTTATATAATTCATATTAATTAGACAAATATGGCTGAAAGATTTTTTTTGTGCGTTTAAAGCTAATAAATGTAAATAAAAAGAAATAAAGACACTGAATTAAAATGCTTCAGTGCTGCGTCACAACGACGGCGAGAAAACAGCGTTCATCCAAACATTTTCTATTTTCAATGAGCCCGTAGCGGATGCTGCGTTCACACCACGTCAGACGAATGGAAGCAACGCGCTCACACTTTATATGACGGCACACACATTCACCGTTAACTAGCTGCTTATAAGAGACCTGCCTCTCATCGGAACCCTGCTTTTAATAAAAATAATTAGAATTAGTAGGATATTAGCTCTTTATTAGTCAGTTTTCCCTCAACAACCTCCTCAGCTCATAACTAACATACTTTAAAAGGTCTTTAAGCTTACAGCTGCCAGTTCACAACTGCAGACTTTTGTTCACACGTGACTCAGAACTCATCACAAATCTGAATCTGATCTCTTCAGTTCTGATTTGGTCCGCCTTCATACGTGGTCCACATCAGATTCAGCTCTGATTCTTTACGACGTGACCTCAGTGTGAACTCTTTTTACTTTGATCGACACTTCACAGCTGTGACCCGTTCACACCGACGTCTGCTATCGGCCACATTCAAAAAACAACGTGAACAAATAAAAGCAGATGTGAACACTGAGGTCTGCAGTGTGAACGCAGCCTCACTGAGACACTGTTAACAAATAGATCTGCGTTCTGTAAGAACAGACGTAATAATATAGTGGTTTCAGATTGCAACTGAACACTGCTCGCATCTGTATTTGACCTGGGAATGAGAACGGGCTGTGGAGTGTGAAACATGACAGACATGAGGTTATTGAGGGAAAACTGTTAAAGAAGCACTTCAACCATGGAAACATTAACTTTTATTTAAAGTGGGTTATATATATATATGTAGTCGAAAGTAACATAAATTGAATTTGGTGCCTATTGGAGCCGGATAAAAGAGTGTTTGGTAGTCTCACTCCTCTACAAAGATATGAGACTTCCATCTTTCAATTCCGTATTTCTTCCCGGTCTCAGGGGAAAATGAGGGAATGATGCACGACCATCAACAATATGACTGGGTTTCTATCGATACAAAGCCTAAATGGCAAATGGGTGAAGTGTCGCTTACCAGGTAATGCAGGAATAGGCATTACGATAGGCTTGTATAGACTAATAGAGAGTGCGAGTGCATGCGCCTGAGGCTAATGCTACTCAAGGGTAAGGGGGTTAATGGCTGAACGTAGTTGTAACGTAACGTATAGAAAGTGGGTTCCAAGCAACTCTAAGGCGAGAAGAACGCGTTTATTCCAAACGAGGTCGGTTGGGGAGAGATGGAGAGAGTGAGAGAGAAGAAGCCTAGAATGAGCTTTATTCTTATATATTTGTAATATATATAACTTTATTTTGGAGGAGCCAGGACGGTGGCTTTATAATTTATTGATACTCTGAGATCTTTCTGAGATTTCTAACTACGAATTACGAGGTGACATCGCTGTGATGTTCCGGTGGTTTAACATTCAGTGTGAGATGGCGTGAACGCAGCATATCACTTTGTGTGTTTTCCATTGTTTTCAGTAAAAGTCACCGAGCCACAAAACTCTGCCGCAGCGCTGCCGGCATGTACATGGCTTGTGTGTTGTCTTGTGCTCCCGCTGTCTCTTCTCTCCTGCGGACCAGACAATAACATCAGCCGGGCACTGACCCAAATTCACATCACGGTTAAGAGGACGGATTTGGCATTGTGTTCTGCTCACCTGGTCTTTTTTAAACTCCCGTACTCCGGATTGTGCGGGTGGTAACTCGAGTCGGCAGAGCGGACAGGATTGGTCTGCGATGTAAAGAGATTCAAACAGCAAAGCCGCCCGTTAAGCTGTCCCAAAGAAAATGAAACTGTGAATTAAAGGTTTTGGGAGCTTTACCTTGCCAGCCAGGGCAGAATGCATCCTGAGGTGGAAAGGTGTTTGCAAGCATTTCTCGAACCGACTCTTGTTCCTCGAACTCCAGCAAACACACGGGACACTTGAGACCTTTGGTCTGCAGAGCCAAAAAGCCACGTATGTTTCCTCGGTGGGATTCACCCAGTCTGCAATGCTACCACTGTCATCACTCCTCAGGGGACCGAGTCAACAATCCAAGGTTAAAATTTAATGAGAGATTCAAACGTTAATGTAGCGGCAAACAGCTGTTTCTCTATGTGAAGGATACAGAGTAACAGCGAGCTGAAACTGCTGTTTTATCATCTAACGTCGGTGGAATTAAGGATTATTTCCCCAAACAGAGTTGGGTGCATTGTCTGGGAAAACACTAACAGAGACGCTTTAACTGAGTTTGTATTCTGTTTCTGTCCACTTAATGAAGTTAGGATTATCTGGAGGTAAAATGAGTGTTGTGTCTCTGGAGTCTGGTGGACGAGTGATAGGTGATATTACGGCTGTTTGTGGTTAAACTAAAGGTCTATCTCTGTAGGGATCCTTTCATAATCGCTGTCACACACTGACAAATAAGAAAACATACACAAATCTGATACACATTTCCACAGCAAGCACCAACAAAGGATCAAAACGAAATTGATGTCCTCATCAGTGCTGGAATATTTGTGTTGAAAGTAGCGATGCTACCTTCTGTGTCAAGATTCCTCATCATATTTAGCTACTAACATCACTGTTCTGTCTATGCTGCGAGATACCACTGAGTTACAGCGCGCGCCTGCTTTTCCAATTGTGCGTGTTAGTGTCGGGAAAGTGTATCGGGTCGCGATCGGGTAATCGATATCTGGTTTAATAGATAAAATTTGTTTGTCCTATGCTTCGGGGAGGGTTCTGAATGTCCAGTCTGAAAACCGCTCTCATTCGCTCTCTCTCTCCTCAGGTACATGTCTCTCTCTCTACTCGTCTCGAAACATAGTCCAGCCTCTTACACGTCCTGAGAGATGTCCGCTTCTCATCCGTTCCTGGTACTCTCATTTCATCTCATCTATTATCCTCGCAGTTCTCCTGATACTCTCTACTCGATTCAGCCCATTTCTCGTCTTTCTTACTCGTTCCGGCTCTTTCTCTGTATCCCTTTATCAGACAGGCAGCTTTGTGTATCTCTCTTCTTCTCGAATGTCTGACTGTATGTTTGACAGCTTTTCTACCCACAATTTTCGCGGTCACCATTACCTTTTCCGCCCCCAGATCGACTTTGTTTTGGAACCAATCCATCAGAATCCAATTCATTAGTCGGCAAGGGAGAGAACTGAAGACGCTTAAGCATTCCTCGTTTTTACTCCCTGGAGCACCCAGGGTGGAAAAAAATAAAAAAAAAAAAATCCCCGAAGATCATTTCATTTTGGAAATTTCGCCGTCTGTCAGAAATGCGTAATCCTTCATTTGTGCATAGACTGTGCAATATGACCTGGGCTTTTAAGATTTTTGGAACCTCAGTATGTTAGACTGCATATATGACTTTCTATCTTGCTTACATCCTGCTTTTTCGTCATTTACCTCACTCACTTCATGTCTTACACCTTTACCATCACTCTCCGAACAAAATGCATGTGTCTCTCTCCTCTCTTTCTTTCCTTCTT